AAAAAACGGTTGTTTTTGATGAATGGATGTCGGGTTTAATTGAGACGATGGTTATCTGGTCGTGGGTGGGGCATTTTCGCGTTCGTTTCCAGGGGCGGAATCATAAATAAGCGCTGTAATAAAACGGTATCTTATCGGATGAAACACACAATTAACTCGGAAATCGTCGATGATATAGAAAATTCGCCACGTTTTGGGGATTTTGGTTCGAGATGCTACGCCCATGTCTGATAGTGGAATAGGTTTTGGTAGCCGTCGATGTCAAATATCAGACAGGGTACACAAATAGCTTTATCAGAGGATGGTTAACAAGCTGCGTTATCGTGCAGGAAAGGAAAAACCACACGGTGTGTATTTTATCAACGCTTTTACCTGGAAACGCAATGACTGGCTCGCTTTGTCAGAGGATTGCAAAGTTTATTAACATAAGCAGTTCCTGCTTTGTGGATTTTTTATATAGGAATAAAGCGATTAGTTCATTTTATTAGAACCTTTTCGGACTAAAATGAGACCGGATGTTTAGAAGTTTTCTAAATTTTGGGATGGACGATGAGGTCAACTTCTAAAAACGGAAAAGTGATCAGGATTTTCCGTTAGTTGGCTACTCTAAACAAACAATTGATGAGATTGCTCAATGAAGATGACCTCAGCATGAATAATTTTGGGGAAACGCTGTAATTTCAAGCTGAGTCCTGTACAGTTTTAGTTATCAAAGTTAGTTAATTAACTAATTGACAAATACGTGCAAACTTTTTTCAACAGTACGTTGGCATCTTTACATCTCGCTAATGATAAATAATATAACAGTCGTAATTTATGATGAATATGTATTTACATTAAACTTTAAAAGCGTGACGAATGTTTGTACTTTTTGGAATGCAACATCAGTTGTAAACTTGATTACACTTAATTTCCCCCACCATTTCTCTACAACTATTTTTCCAAAATTTTCGGGACGATTCGTTCCGATATAGTATAAAATAACAAATAAACTGTAACAAAAAGTACATTCCACGTAACGTAAATAATTTATGAATAGAAGCTGCATTTTTAATTTAAACGTTATTTAAATTTTGTTTCCTCATTCATTTTATTAAAATACATCATTTAAAAACACGAATCCTTCTTGAACCATGAAAGAAAATGCAATATATTTGAGACAATAAAAAAAGCGGTCTAAAAAATACAGTCACTGATAGGGTTGCGTTTTTTCCAGTTAAATTTCAAGTAAAATTATTTACCAGAACTAGAATAAATCAATCAAGATAAAACAAAATTTATTATGGAAGTAATCATTTTCAAACTGATAAGAAGATTAGCTGCGTTAAATTGCAAGAACATATTTGAATGCAATTTTTCAGTTGAAAAGTTTTATTTTTGTTGTATTAGTACATTTTTTTTGTTAAGTTTTATTGCAATATTCTTTAATAGTTTTTAAGAGTAACGTAATTCTCTGAATGCCACAATCGGTATGAACGTTATCATTATCACATTCTTATTCATTTCTAATAATAGTTAAGTGTAGCAGTTGCGTTTTTGCGACCAACGATAAAAACGAACTCGTTAAAGCTGTGATAGTTATTATCACGGGAAAAGAAATTTTTCCTGAAAAGAAATCACTATTGCGTTGTCTGACTAATGAGAAACGAGATATAACTCTGATGTTCTTAAACGTAGTCCCTCTTTTTGTAATGAAAGCTCAAAAACTAAAAAATACGGATTTCAATTTCAATCTCTCAGTGAATTAATTTTTCACGGTTTTGCACAAAGTAGAAACACTATTAGATAAAGAATTAAATTCATTATTCAAATTACATTTATGTTATAGCTGCACAAGTTTGTAGTTCTTCAATTTAAAAATAGACCAACGAGGATTACTGGCACCCGACTGAAATGACTTCGAAACCCAATACAGCCAAGCGGATTGAAAGGAAAGATCAGAGATTTTTCAAACGACACGATTTCCGCAGTATCGATTTTTTAAAAAGCGAATGATGAAGTTTTAGACTTGGATGATTTAAAAGGAGATTGTGAAACCTGATAGTTTTAAAACAATCCTAGAGCCAATATTGACTTTCACTTAAAACGACAAACGAAAAAACGTGAAAACGACCTTTCTAGGAAGAGCTTGCAGTACCTAAAAAACATACACCGGTATACATTAATCCTATTGTACGTCGCAAAATTTTAATGGAAACCAAATAACGTTCCGTGTACACGAAGACGAAAGTATTTGTTTACAGTACAACTTTCGTTGATAGTTTACACTGTATTTTATTTTGTTGAGTATTATTTAAAAAATTATGGAATACAAATGTATAGTTAAAACCAACTGACTCCATGTGGGACGACGAATTTAAAAAAAATTCAGTTAAAAGTATGTACTAAATTACGTGATGAAAGTTACCTAGAGGGGATTACGGTGTGGCTTGTTATTGTAGATCGTCCGTGATCCTCAAAAGGAAGAAATGACCGCTGGGGAAGTTTAAGAGCTCATGGGGTTTTCAAAACATTTTCAGAATGTAATATCTTCATTATTAACATTATTGTTACGAAATTTTAAATATACCTGGTCCACAGCTTTGCAAAAGCAGTTTTCTTAAAAACAGTTTATCTTCATCTTCTTTTTAGCACTTTGATAAAATTTTTCATCACGTATTTTAAAAATCAATATCTCAATTGTTTATAAAAATTTCGGAACGCGGTTTTCACCACGATTTTCGGTTTATAAAACTCTAAGCTGGTAATGTTTTCCATGAAGATAAAGTGGATGCAATTTGAGGCGTTCTGCAAGGAAAGAAATTATGATCTTGCTCAATTTACATGTCACTTAGTTAGCATTAGAGTATGTCATCAAAACCAAGTGGAACTCTATCGCGAAAATGTTGCAAAAAAATATATTTTTCTGAATAGGGCATCATTTTTGTTCCCTTCTTCGGCATCAGGGCGCAGAAGATGCACAAGAAGCCAACCAGAAAAAAGAAAGTTCAATTGCCCTTTCTTTACATTTACAAAAAAAGATCTCTGTATTCGACAATGGGAATTTTTTGCGAAAAAATATAAATCCAGTTGCAGAAAAGTATCCGACAATTATATTTTACAGCAATCTGACGCTGAAAGAGATAGTGTTACCGATATTTACCCAAGTCTAGCCTTTGTATATGCTGTACCAACAAAGAAATGTGATAATTGTTTGACATGCGGAGATGTTTCTAGATGACATCCAGTCGCCAGGAAAAGAAATGTAATCTAAAAGGAAAACTGGAAAATACAGCAGGTGGGTTAAATGTGAATCTTTTAGCAATTATAGTCTTCTTCTAAAAAAATTTGTTTTGACCGCGGCACGCAACTGACCCACGTCCGGCATATTCTAAAGCAATATTTACGTACGCTATGGATAAAAAGCAAAATCGTGGGAACGCCCTTTACTTTCAAATCACCTTTATACATTTAGATGAGAATAAGAAAAAAGGCCGGAAACAGGCAGAAGAAAATAGAAACATGAACCGAAGAGGAAGAGACCGAAATGTGAGTAAGAGCATAAACTGTAGAAACTCCGCCAAATATAAAAATTACATCAACGTGCTAATAGATTTATTTGAGCTCGTTTTTCCTATGTAATATTATACCTCGCCTTGGAGTTCATTTTGTCTGTATTGTTTCGACAATGCTTTTGGTGGGGTAATGGATTTCGCTTTTAGCTTTGTGCTTTTGGCACTTTTATGTAACTTAATATTCAAAATCGACAAAGTTCACGTACCTAAAATGAATCAATTTAATTTGTCATACGACAAGGTACAATCGCTACCCACGACTTCGAAATTACTCGGGTGTTTAAATAACAACCGCCTAAAAGTAACATTAACATCTACACTCAAATTGTTTATAATTGATTTCTTATAATCAAAAAATAATACGGAGGCAATACTTTTAATTAAATGAACGCTACATTAAGTTTAATTTTGCTTGCGTAAACCGAATGAAGACTCAACTGCACATTTTTATTATTTAGTGCTAGAAGTTCCTACCCAACAAAGAAATGACCAATTAACCCCAAACGAAGCAACGCATTCCCAAGGAATTTTAAATAAATAAATTTTGCAGACCACAGTAAGTGAAAAAACTGAATTTAACAATACGGTTTTTTACAATGGACGGAAATTAAATATGACATCTTTGTGTTGCGAAAAAAAAAAACATTCATTTGGTCTTTTGTCTGCATAATTCGGAATTAAAAGGACAATAAAGTTTATCAAATGTCCACCGACGTTTTGCGATAATCAGAAAACTTTTACAACTGTGGAAGTTTTATTACCTGAACAATGAACATATATTTTCCACAGTATAGTGACTTTAAATGACACTAACGTGCTAATCAGAGTGGTTTGCTCTATTTGTCGAAAACTCCACCTTTACCGTTTCTGATGTCACATATGGGTTAATTGTTTTTCATGTTGAAACAAACTCTAGCTTTTGAAGGTGCTGCATCAACAAAGGAACGTAATCAAGTGTTCTTTGACGATAGACAATTTCTGAGGACGGAAGTATGATCAGATACATAGAAACTGAAAAAGCTAGATGGAAGACCGAATCTTCTAGGAAAGGCCGACATTCTTCTATGTAAAACGCTGAGTCTACAATTCCAACCTCCCAACGGCGAAGGTTTCACGGTTCTGCACCAAGTAGCAGCAGTATCAAATGAACATTACTTATGTCTAAATTCAAAATTAATTACCGTTTATTTAGCTAGACGAAGTAGCCCGTAGTTCTCGAATTTAAAAATAAACCGACGAAAACCTCTCGAGGTGACTTGCAAAGCGACATAACCAGTTCCTAACGGAGCCTGCGATAATCCCCATCGCGTCCACCCCATGTCGCACCTCCCACGATAAGGCCGCCGAAACCCGTCCCATTTCACGGAACCGAATAAAAAAGGCCCGACACCCAAACCCAAGGTCAAATAACTCTCGGTGTCGTTAGTCTTAGCCGGCTCAACTTACGTAGATCAATCCCGAGTAGTATCTGTCTTTGAGGTTGTGCAGGACACAGGCCTCGTTGAGGCAGGTGAGCTCCGCCATGTCCTCGACCTTGTCGAACTTGGGCGGATTCATCTTCTGGATGTCATCCTTGGCGACGGTGGTGCGCTTGCCGGTCTCCTGGAGCTCCACCTCCACTTCGTCGCCGCGCTCGCCCTTGATGCTGGCGGCGACGAAGCCCTGGTTCTCGTGGGGCACCCACACGAGGCGCTTCTGGGTCCATTCGGCCTGCGTCGCGGGGTCGTTGAAGTTGTTCCTGTCCACGCACAGGTACTTGAGCTCGGGGTCGTAGCGGTCCTTCTCGGTGTCCGCCATGGCTGGGCCCTGTGTTACAACACTGCACTAGGTCCACTCTAAATGCACATCGGGGGCGCGACACCGGGGCTAAGTCGGGACGCGGCCGGTTAACGTGCTTGCGGAGACGAATGGGTGGCGTGAGTGACAGCCGCTCGCTAAATCATTACAACGGTCGAGTATGGCCGCGCCTATTTTACCGACTGTGCGGAGCGGGATCGACCAATCGCGGCGCAGGGAAAAGTGCTGCCAACGTGAAGTCGCCACAACGCAACTTGACAATCTTTTTTTTTATTTTTATTAACTAAATATTAATCGAAGGGATTTTAACTGTACAGTTCGTGACTTCGCGATAGAGTCAAAGCGTTTTCCGTTTATCTAAACTGAAATGATAATAATGGAAATTATTCGCATTTATAACAACGTGCAACCGAGGTCGAGATGTGTTATGGAAAATTTTCAAAAAAAATAATACTGTGTTAACCGGTGGTTATCTCTGCTTTTATAAGAATTGTAGCAGTGACATGAAACTTTCTGATTTGTAGAAATGCAGTACTTCCCGCAATTCCAAACTTTAAAAAATGCCGATTTTTTAAAGTTGCTGCCAACGTGATAACTAAAAAGCACTATTCGAAATTCAAATTTTAAAAACATGCAGATTCAAAAACAATGGCTGTTTTCCACCTAACAATTCAACAAAGAATAAATATTTAAAATCACCTAGGAAATTCAATACTCATTTCAATTTGCTACGCCAGAATGAAGTCATCCGAAGTTCCTCCAACAACTAAGAATAAAACGGGACAGAATGAAAGCATTGTAAATTTGTAAATGAAAATGATCTTAATAAAAATCATCTGTGATTTAAACGTCTAACCGTCATAGCCTGCGTACTTTTATTGCCACCTAGTGTTATTACAGGATGAGAGTTGTATACGCCCTGTCTCAGTTGAGCATGATTTCGCGCCAATTTTCAGCCCGTAATAAATGAAATGTTATCCAAGGAAAAACTCGGATTAAAATTATTTAGACAGAAGTTCCCTTACATTTGCTGCTCCATCAAATTATAAAATTTGGTTTTGCAACTTTTGTTTTTTTGTGCTCCTATAAGCTAAAATAAAGATATAATTTAACCTACCTTTTATTTACAGAATTTTTTTCTAATATGTAGGCAGTAACTTTGTTTTTGAAAATTCAGCATTTGTGTTTTGGAACTACAATTACCTAATTCAACTGACTTTTTTTTCAAAATTTGGCTAGCATCATGGTAACTGATTAGTAATTAGTTATATGTAGTTATATAGTTACTTAGTTACTATATACTTGAAAAGAATTCAAAATTCGTGAGTTTTCTTTATGTTACTAGAGTTATTGATTATTCTTTTGGGTGTTCGACAGTTGTGTACCGTGCTTGTGACTAATTTTTTGTAATCGAATCTGTGTCTTTCCAAATCTGCCATTTGTTCTGCAAATGCTGGCCACAAAGACATATGTCAAACAAAATTCAGCAGTTAGAACGAGGTAAACCTGATGATGTCATCACGGACGTTCAACCTGTTACAGCTGCACGATGAACAATTCGAAACTTGTATTAATCATCATTTAAATTTAATGGCTATAAAGTCAAATTTACATGTTAAAGTGTGTTATATTTAGCTATAATGTGTTTGGTAAGTTGTTATTAAGCAGTGAACCGTGTTGATATTGGAAATTTACGACCTATTTTTTAAGTTCACAAAAAATTTTAGTTATGCGTACATATATACACGATGTCCAGATATATGAAATAAATTCAATACAAAGCCGTGGTGCAAAGTTAGAAATGGTGTTTAGCAGAATCATTGGAAATCTGTAAACCAAGTGTTGGAAAAGTTGTTTTTCAGTTACTTTTTTGGAAGAAGTAGTGTTTTGAGTTCGTTTTTTTTGTTTATAAACTTATCCATTTATTTTCGTGTTTCTATCGGCTAAGAATCAGGTCAGGTTCAAAAATTAATTATGACGAAAACGTAAACAAAAATATGTAATAGAAGCCAGATTTTCTCGTTTGATGTCTCACTAGTATATCTCACTAGTGATATAAAAACATCGTTCTGACAGCTTCCGTTGCTTACGCTGCTTATTAAACGGTTAAAGTTACATAAAAATCATTTATGATGGAATTGTTCCCTTCTAAAAGTTCTAAAAAAAAGTCCGCGACAGCATACGTCAATCTTTTAAGGTCGACTCAGTATAACCTTTTTTATGGTAATGAATTTTTTTCTAAAATAATCTAATATAAAATTCTGGTGTCTCCTCTGAAACGCCTTGACCGATTTTTATGAAATTTTTTGTGTATATTCGGTAGGTCTAGTAAACTATTTTTTAAACCCCTAAGTGATAAGGGTGGCCCACCAAACTTTTTTTATTTTTTAGACAACATTTTTTATTTTTATTTTTTTAAGATTTGGCATCAAAAAATACATATAACCCTAAATTTTGACCCTTCTACCACCAACCCCTATTTTTTAATAACGATATAAGTATCTTTGCTTTCATCCACAGATGCGCAATAGGGTTGCAAGATGGCCATTGAATATAATAATTGTCGTACGATAAATTTTTATGTATTTATTTTAATTTAATTTTTTATTTAACTATGTACCAAAATATTCACTAGAAATGCCAAAACAACGTTTGCCGGGTCGGCTAGTTTCTAATATTGTATATATTTTAATTATATGTCTTCAGGTAATTATTGTATTTTATTTTTTTAATTCAATGTTTCAGGTAGAATGATTTTCATAAAACGTTAGCGCTAATTGCAATCTACTCATTCTTTACTCATTATACTCGTATTTTTAAATATTTTTATTTCGCTGTTCATTAGGGGCCCCACAGTGTTGTAGAACACAGGCCCGCAGTTTGATTGTTACGCCACTGCATATGTATCAAAACTTATATCTGTCGTGCATATTATATCCTTGGTAAGGTCTCGATAAAAATGGAGAACCAATCAGGAGTCAATTTGACTTTTTGTTTGTTCCGTTGCCTTGGAAACCTCACTTTTAGTCGCTGTATTTGATTGGAATTGGATCACTCTTGAAACAATGACCGCTAACAGTAATTGAACTACGGGAGTTCATTTTCATTTTGCGTGAAATCGTTTGATTTTAAATAAAAATAATGAATTCAGTTGAATATTTAATAAAAAATCGTCCTTTGTCTTACGATGATAAAATTGTAGTGAAAAATTTAAGGAGAGCCACCACGGATTTATAAAAAAAGTGTTCATGGCAAAACGAAAGACCTTCATAAATAGTTTAATATATAGTTTTGGAAATTTCATTCGACCCTATAAAACTTTAAGTTGTAAATATCTCTTGCTATTGTACTACTATCCGTCTCTTTATTGTCAATAAAATTTTATAGGGTAGAATGAAATTTCCAAAACTATACATAACACGTATGGTAAATTTTTATGAATGTGCGGTTGTGAAAAAAATAATAAATTGTTTTGTGTGTTTCCTCGGTAATGACTAATGAGTTAAAACTAAGGGAATGTGGACAAATATTTTTTTTTACTTTTTACTTTTATTGTATTATATTATTTATTATGTAATCTGTAATTATTTCCGTCACACAATTTCGTCTATTAATTGGCAATAACAGCCTGTTTTATATCTTCATATTTAACTCATCAATCAAATTGTGTCCTCCCATTTCAAAACGCCACGAGCCGCTACTGCTCATAGAAAACGGATTTTTGATTACTACACCCGTTGAAAAATGTTTCTGTTAACAACCCTTCTGTCTGAGGCTGGTCTGCTTTAATTTCGTTTTTTTTTTTTCAACTAATAATAATCAACCATATTCTTCTCTGAAATTAGAGACATGTTTTAGAGTAAAATGCTAAAGTGAATTAAAAGTAAAAAGTATATTAATTTCCTCAAAAAAAAAAAATTATCAGTGCATTTCAAAATGTTGTTATTTAAATTTCAGTTGAAATATTCCGGAAAACATGCTCTTTTACCTGTGGTTTAATCATTTATTCTTGTTTTCAATTTTATATCGATTCACTGTCTTAAAATATTTCATGCAATTTTTCTGGGGACGCAGTGACACTGTCTTTTTGTTACACTGTACATATTTAAAAGAACATACTCGTGTTTTCCCCCAATTAAAAATTTTGACGTCATCTTAAAAAATCAGGAAATTAGAAAATGACCCAATTTAAATTTTTTAATTTTAGAAGTGGAGAAAGTTTTTTTCAAATCTATTTTTGTTCTAGAACACTGCATCTCAGCTATATGTGATGTAATCTATTTTTATACTTTTAGCATCTCGTGCTTCAGCTAATTAAAGCATATTTCTCGTCCAGTGGATCCATAAGGAGTTACTGATTCTCTTTCCAATTTCGATTCATAATTTGTTGTCCGTATGGCCTCATACTACCTACGTCTTTACTTCTGTCTTTCCCAATTCTTGCATTCCAGTCTCCGATTATGACTATTTTATTGTTGTCTTCTGTGATTTTGTCTACTGTTGTTTGCAGTTCTTCATAGAATTCTGACATCTTTCTTTCTTCCGTGGCTTTAACTGGTACAAATATCTGTATTACGTTTATAGCGATGTCTAGTACTGTATCCATTCTAATGATTCTGGATTTCACCGATGCAACCTTTATTATTCTTTTCTTCATTTCTTTCAATAAGTTTATGGTAATCCCTTCTTTTTTTTTCCCCGAGTGTTACTCCTGAGAAATAGTCGTCCTCTAGTTCTTTACTTCCCTTGCCTGGTTCATCGTCTCGCTAATGCGTAATATGTCTAACTTCCGCTTTCTCACCTTGTAGTTGACCACAATTTTTTGGGACCATTCCGTGTATATTCTTGTTTTTATTATTTTCCTATATCCCTGTATACCATTTGATCCACTTGGAAGAGTTAATTCACTATCAGTTCTACCTCTCTGTTTTCTTCCCTCCTCACTGTGGTATTTTTCATATTTTCTGAAGTCTTGGTTCCTGTCCGTACATCTTCATTCTTCAAGAATTCGCTTTAAGTACTCTTAGTTTATCAAGACTATTGTTCCGTTTAGTTTCTTGGATGCTCTTAGCATTTCATCAAGTTTGCTGATCTTAATTATACTGTCAGTTGTATTTGTTTCATTTGATCTACCTTTTCAGACAGGCGCGGATCCAGGGGGGGGGGCAATGGGTGCAATTGCCCCCCCCCTGACACACGACCGAGGTACTTTATTTTGACCAATTTCAAAATTTTGAAATCACTTCATTTTGTAAATACAGTACAACCTCTATAATCCGAACTCAGGATTGTCTCAACATCCAGTAATCCGAACAGAGGCTATTTGAAGTCGATGCCTCTTTAATACGAACAAAAACTCTACAATCCGATCTGAACTTGAAAACATGCATCTACTTTCAAAAATGACGCAAGATTTTTCTGCATATGTTGTATGGAATACATATTTTGAAATTTTAAAAAATCGCGATATTTCAAAGCACTGAATTAATTAACTAATTCTGGAAAAACGGATGAAGTTATCGGAGACCCAAAATCTACAAGAGAAAGTATTTGGTTAAATTTCGAAAATCGTCGAAAATGGGTCGAAATTTGCATGAGAAAAATTTCATTTTCGAAAAAATTTCCTAAAAATTCTGAAAAAATTCAGAGATATATATCCCGACGTGCTGATTCCAAAAATATACCATGTTTATGGTAACGGAGCAATATTTTCGGAAAATTCGCTGTGAAATTCGAATTTTTCGAAATTTTTAAAAATTGCGATATTTCAACGATTGTGGAAAAATGGTTATCGAAGAAATGAAGCCAGAAGTGACTTCTGAGGTCCAAAATCTACAAGAAAATATGTATTTAGTTAAATTTCGAAAATCGTCGAGAATGGGTTGAAATTTGCATAATGGAGGTAATACGAATACATAATGGAAAATTTCATTTTTAAAAATTCATCTAAAAATTCTGACAAATTTCGGGGTATAGATCCCGGGGTGTTTATATGTATCTATTATTATCTATTGTTGCTTAAGAATTCTTTAATTTTTGTTTAATAAAATTTAGGTTTATTTCTTGAGGTTTGTTTTCAGTTGTGTATGAAGTTGTTATTCAATTCCCTTTCAGATTTTTGGGAAAATTGCTGATCCGAACAAATCGTTAATCCGAACACACCTTTTTCCCAATTAATTAGGATTATCGAGATTCTACTGTACACTATACGTGGAATGAAAAGAACCAAATGTCACCCATGTTATGTGGAAAAGAGTATACTAGCTAAAATTTTATAAATTTTTTTGTTTAAAACGAATTTCTGGTAGATAGGTAAAATTGCACAAAAATTGCCCCCCCCCCCCCCTGAACGAAATCCTGTATCCGCGCCTGTTTTCAGATCCTGCTTGGTTCAGTTATGTTCTCTTTTAAATTTAAAGTAATTCCTATTTTCTCGACTATATTTTAGTCTTTTCTCTGTTTTCATTCATGTTTTATTTTGCTATTTGTTGGCCGTCGAAAATGACAAAATTTTCCTCTTGCTCTCCCTCTAGTTTCTCTATTGTGTTACCTTGGTTTTTTAGTCATTTCTTTAGTATTGCATTTTCTTTTTACTTCCCGAGCGTGAGCATAGTAATCGCATCCACTCTCATGTTTTCTCGATGTTTCATGACCCCTAGAGTACTAAAACAGTGATCACCCGTTTCCGTTTGTCTGTCTGTTCGCCTGCCTGACATCTGTGTCGATTTTTATTAGACACGTAGTCTCCGAAACTATTGTTGCCAAATTTTTGTATGTATAGGAATATCATGCAGATGGAATGGAACTAAGAGGAAACGGGAAACGTGGAGGTCCTCGACTAATCGTAAGGCTGAAGAGAGTTCTCTCGAAGGACTACACACAAACAACCAGGTTTTCTAAAGAAAGACTTTTATAGCCACCTTGGAAGAGTCCGCAGAACTTTTGCTGCAGACTATGTTTCTAGGCAGCACAAGGACTATCTCCCATTCCAAAAGGGATACAGCCGGTACTCAACCTTTCCCGAAGGACTGGGCGCTGGCTGCCAAGGTAGTCACGGAAGCAAGACTGGAGTAGGCAGTTGACAGCTTCTCCCCATATAAATCTCCGGAAGTGGACGGTATCTATCCCGCCCTCCTGCAGAGGGGAATGAGCAGACTGCGCGCTATCTTGTTGCCAATGCTCCAGGCGTTCGACAAAACGACCTTCAAAACCATAGAATTAGCCCTACAAGAGCACGACGTGAACCCCACCATGACTAGGTGGGTTAAGGGTATGTTGAGGAATAGGTAAGTACTAATTAATGTAGGTGGCACTGAGATCGAGGCGGTTGTAGACAGGGGATGTCCCCAGGGAGGAGTAATCTCTCCTGTACTGTGGTACACTGTCGTTGACAGCCTGATACGACGCCTCAATGATCTTGGCTACCACACAATTGGATATGCAGATGATCTAGTCATCTTGCTGACAGGAAAAAATGTAGAAATATTATGTGAAATAATGCAAGCTGCAATAACAATAGTCGAGGAATAGTGCAGCAGGCATACCCTTTCCGTAAATGGAGAGAAGGAAAATTGGCATACTACAGATGAGGAAGAATCTTTTACCCAACACTTCAACTTTCGGACGAAGTCAAATACCTGGGAGTTGTATTGGACTGGCGACTGAACTGGAAGAAGCAGATGATAAAGTAGAAAAAGCACGCTCGGCTCTTTGGCAATGTCGTAGAGTGGTGGGAAGGTCTTGGGGTTTAAACCTCAAGATCGTCCTCTGGATCTACGCGGCAATAGTCAGACCGATGTTGTGCTATGGAACTTTAGTTTGGTGGCTCACAGCCAGACAAAAAACAACAGTTCTGCAACTTGAACACGTTCAGAGAATGGCGTCTCTCAGTGTTACCGGAGCAATGAGAACCACTCCCACAGGGGCTATGGAGACACTTCTTTGCTTAGCACCTCTTAACCTTTACATAGAAGAAGCGGCAATGTGGACGTCTCTAAGACTTCACTCTCTGGGAGTATGGAACAAGCAAGGCCGCATAACGAAGCACACTCGTATCTTGACGCAGGCGTTCAACAGAATACCCTTGTTAAGGATGGGTTGTGACCGAATGGGCACAAAATTAATATATGAGAAGACACTACTAGCCCTTAACAGCTGCATTCGATCCGGGCTGGTTTGGGAGTGCAGACAAACGCTAAGGTATGTGACGCAGAGGAATGGTATAGAACTTTGTTAGATCAAAGGACACAGTGGCAACGAAGGAAACGAGAGGGCAGATGAGACGGCGAAGTGAGTCGCGCGTATGCCCTTCTGGGGACCCGAACCGGCAATCGGCAATCACGCCTTCGGTCGCCCTCTCGAATGCAATAAACCCATAAACGCCATGAGCAAATATGGACGACATTAACCAGTTGTCGGCATAATAGAGCTTGTATAGCTACATCAGACTATAAGTTGACGAAATTTTATCTCTAATTTTCAAGGGATAAATTGCGTAAACTGATAGGATTTCTTACTGGACATTACCAGTTTAACAAACATCTACATACGATAGGAGTGGTAACAGACCCAATCTGTCGTGGATACAATGAAGAACAGGAAACTGCTGAGTACATTCTTTGTGAGTGTCCAGCGCTAGCCTCCTACAGGGAATCCATACTACGGAACATCTGACTTAGTATGACTGAAATAAAGGGAGTTCCCACTTTCTGCATTACTCAAGTACATCCAAGCAGTTGGGTAGTTTGACGAGTAAAGGAGCGGGAAACACCCTGATATTGACTTGGGGAGGTACGATGGACCCAAAGGCGAGGCCTAAGTGCCGACTGGCTACGGTCAACCTCCATAAAATTTAGAATCCAGAATCTAGAATCATGTAGATGGTAAACCGCTAATCAAAATTGGGCTAATCATCCCCACCACCAGCGGGATGATGATTTCTAAAATTTACAATACTAATTTTTTTAATTCCATAAAATAAAATACCTACTCGTTCATTTCTAATGTATGAAACCATGTTGAGTTTTCACCTTAAATATCCAGATTTTGTATTAACGTTTTGAATTTTGAAACCGCAACATTTTAAGGTTGTCGCAATCATGGTAAATCATTAATCAAAATTTGTTCGATTATCCCCTCCTAAAAAATTGATGATGTCATCTCAAAATTTTTTCTAATAAATCCTCTCTGAAATATGCAAAATAGTATGTTTATACTTGTGGTTTATTCGCTTAACAATATCTGGGAATAAAGAAATATGTTTTTTTAAATGATTTAATTAAATTTAAATGATTCATGTATGGAGAATGTCCACAACGGTGCCTCAATTTATTTTAACAAATAAAACAAATAATTTTTAAACCTGACTATTACTCATGCCATAGTATTACTAGCTACCATTATTCTATTATAAAGATTTTGAACAGTCAACTTTTAAAAATGTTATTGGTGTGACTGATGCTATTTTTTACATGAAATTTAAATCTAAATATTTATAATTTTAAAACTATCTACCTCTCAGTTGAATATGAAGCAAAACAACAACGTATGAACAAATAGTTTATTAATCAACATTTGGTTACATGAACGTGAAACTTTCAAGAGCTTCATAACTGTTAGTCATTTTGTTATATAAGATTTAACAGTACATTTACTAACTAGTGTGTGATGCGTTAAACGTTTTTCGATAAGAATAGATGAATTTCTTTAAAACTACAATAGCATATTTACAGCTTCTACAGTGGCAGTTCCTACGACTGAAAAACACCTACAACTAAGAACTTACATCATACCATCAAATTAACATTACTAAAAATCAAAAATATCAAACTTTGTGTCCTCTTCTTCCACTTTCATCGATTTTCCACACAAACCTTCGTAATCTTCACTGGGTTCCAAACCTCCACCGCATGCTGACGACGGTTCCCCAATTTCATAAACAGGTAATCCCAAATAGTTTCCTCCAGGACCGTAGTTACAGACATAAACAATATGATACCATGTCTCATTGTTTGTGTCGGATGAATAATAACTAACTGCGCAACCAATTTCGGACGTGTCGGCCCAAATCATTTGCGTATAATGTCCCACTTTGACGTCCGGACCTCTATCCATAGTTTCATTAACCCAATCACTTTCAAAAATGGCAACTTCGTCATACCATAGCATCGTGAGTTCATTCATAGACTTGTCAACGTCAATGTCCGGTGCGGAGCTATTAATAAAGCCGAGATTTTGTCCTACGTGTTCATATTCGGCTGAAACAATGAACAGTGTAAACAGAAAAATGATTTTTATTTTCTGAGGTGTTGAAGGAAGTACCTGTTCTTCTGCAGTGGTCGTGGATGAGAGGATTGCCATTGCAAGTGTTGGCCCAGCATTGTGCTATGAACTCTAACTCTCTGCTGTAGGTCTGTGAATGAAAAAAGTAGTTAAATGGTTTTATGTGAACCACGTTTAACTTGGAATCAACTAAGCTCTTATTCGGTTTATTGCACTGCAATTTTTGTTCTCATGTTTCTTTTATTTATCGTAGAATATATTATTTATCTTTACTCGAAAATTGTATACAAATTGTTTATAAAGCGTTTGTAAAATTGTAGAATTTTCTACTAATTAAACTGGATTAAAAGGAAAATTTTAGCATTGCCAAGTAGTTGTAAAACTTGTTTACGATTTGATGGTTGTTTTTACTCTCAAACACCTTTTGTCACGTGTTCTCACAGAGCAGAAAACACTGTAACAGAGACAACAGCTTCTAGTCGAACATATCTGAAATTATCATCGTGCCAATATTTTTTATCCAGTTTTACGTCTTACATTCCAATCGGTCAGACGTCGCTATGGCGTCACTTTAATCTGCTATAACTTAAAAACTACAAACACTTGAAATGTTCGATTTTTACTGCTCTTCTTAGATACATATTTCTCTAGAGTCTTTAACAAAAAAATTAAATTTTGATTTATTGGCATAAGAATTTTACAAACTCATGAGTGTAATGTAATATTGTTAGCTATGCTGTCGCCAGAAATTTTTGAGTTCAAATACTTTATTCAGTGCATTAAACAGTGAGATATAACTATGAGGAACAAAATATTAAATTTATGAATCTCATGCATACATAATGAAGATATTTAATATTTAAAACAATTATTTATACATAAAACTAATTCGTTCGGACAGTTGAGGTCAAACATTTTGTTCCTCCATTCACAATTTAGGAATGATTCTGAAATTCTACTTAAAACACTGTGCAATTTCCCGTAATCCGAAACTTTGTGCTTTCTTGCCTAGGAGTCACATTTGTAAATTTTTTTTGTCATTTAAAAATTCTGATAATCATAACTGTGAAAGCCAAAAATACTCAAAACAAGTGTCAAAATATAGCTCGTGTAAAAACTGAGATCTTCTAGTTTTTTAAGCAGTGCGTTTAAATTTGTTTCTCCTTTTTAGACATATGTAAAAACAGTAGAAGTTGTTGGTAAAAAAAATTGCGGTTGTTATAATTTCATCCACACCTTTTCAAATTATTTCTTTTTGTTTTTGTAATACTGTATTTTTTATTTATGTTTATTGTAGATACTTATTTCAAATCTACTGCACATACTTGATAACAGGCTATTTATATTTCAAGTAGTGTAGTATTATTGTTCACATTAGAAACATTAAAATCAGAAAGATGCAATTCACGGACACACGTAAGGTATCATCTAACGCACGGCGCAGTTTGGCTTTCGTTTTGAGATCAAAAGATGTTATCAGCGCAGTTGGGCTACATCGGATATACTATATAACAACCCTAAAATTTTCATCAATGTTTTTTTTTCATTGTTCGATTTGTATGTTTTGAATCACTTGTAGAAAAATGTATTTTCCACTCTTTTTCGAGTGGTGGTATATTGTTTTTAAATTCCTGATGGAAACTTTTTTGCTGATTTGTTGTAAAAATTATTGTTGTACCTATGCTAGAAATGCCAAAGAAATATTAAAATTAGAGTAATGTCCGAGAACTGTAAAGTTTATGTATAATCAATTAACTGCTCTGAATAAATGAAAGGTCATCTGATGAAAAGGAGTCTACATTGCCAATGCTACACGTAAATGTCAGCATTAACAAAAACTTCATGTACCTCTATGTTTTGATGCGACATTCTCAATCCCCGAAATAATTTTAATTTAAATAAATTACTGAATTAAATTTAAAACGAAATTTGTACTTTTATAATAGAGGTGTTTTTTAAGCAACTATAATACTGAATTTTTGTCTTGGTTGTTACAAAGAATTTAAATTTAATAAGTGGTATATTATTATAGTTTCATAGCATAACAGAACATTTTTTCCGCATCGGTAACTCCTGAGTGATTTACAGCTTTACCTACTGAAGTTTATTAACGTAGATATCAAGTGATTTCGAACCACATGTTACTACAACAAGTGTACACTTTCAATTATAATGTACCATTTTTTTATCAGACCAGTACAATAAACTGTCAAGCAACTAAAGGTTAATAAGAGTTGTTATGCAATGTCTTTGCAATGTCCAAGAAAAAAAAAACATCAGAAAATATAATACTTACTTTTATTGCACAATAAGTACTTATTTTATAATGCAGTGTTTTAGGATATTTGTTCGCTTCGGCTGAGGTTTAAATTCACAAGAATTATTTATTATTATTAATCGAAAGCATCTACTTTGCAGCCAAGAGTTAGGAGGAACTGGAGGAAGTATGTGGAAATCCGCGTATATTAAGTGAAATCGAAACTGAGTTTGGAATGCCGCAAGGAAGTTCTTCTAAGATTCCTATTATTCAATATTTACATTAACGATGCAGGTAATTGTGTATACTCTGAATTCAAAACTTTGTTTGCGGATAGTTATCATAAATATATCAACGACTGACATTTTGAAACGAGTATTTATTTATGTATCCGTAGTAAACAAACAAACTTAAATCAAATGGCCAAAGAACTAAAGGAATAATCAAATGTTTGGGCGTTATCACTGGTAATGAGTTAACTTTTAAAAACTACTTCGACTACATTTTTATAAAACAATTATGTTAGTTAATTTGTTCACACTTCAGCTATTGTATTGTATAATAATAATATTAATAATAATAATAATAATAATAAACAAAATCAAGGTGGATTCATAAGCCCCAAGTGTAGCATTCCATTATTTTACAAAATTTAAATATTCTTTACTGCGTAAAATGTTGAACTGACGTCATAAAATTGTTGGTGGAGATGATTAGACAAATTCTGATTAGCATTTATTTTATTACAATACATACTTCCTTAGCTTACGATGGGGAATTGAAAATGGATAAACAATAGAATGCATTGCTTATTTTTTAAAGGACTTAATAAGCATTAAAAATTCCGACGAATATTTATAAGGTCGAATTTTTCTGCATCGATTTAAAAAAAAATCTTGATGCTTAGTGAGTAAGTATTTTTTTTATTATAAAGATTATAAGTAAATATGGATTAGCATAAGCAAATGTTTCATAACCCTACGAAAAAAGTAGTCCCCCGTTTCAGTCTGTCTGTCTGTCTGGTGTCTGTTTCCATTTTTATTAGACACGCAATCTCCGAAACTGCTGGACCGATTGTTGTCAAATGTTGTATGTAGGTATATTAGAAATATCATGCAAATGGTTAAATGTTAACCACAATTTTGTTAATCATCCCCACCAAAAATTTGATGACATCGTTTCAAAAAATTATGTTTATTTGATTTAATTGTTATACAACAATATAGTCCTATAAGTGTGGGGTACGAATCCGTTTTGAGTTCTTCCCTAACCATCCAAATTTTTGCAAAAAACATAATGCACGGTATAATAATAGCTAACCGTTAACGGAACCGAACCGGTGGTGGTCTAGTAGTTACGAGTGAGGAATTCTTTCTTTTTCTCTCGCATTGTGTATTATCTATGTTTATGACGTCATCACAAATTACCCTATTTTCTCGAGAAGGGGAAAATACGCCCCTCTTTATTTAAAAATGTAAAACCTTCTCGGGGTCATCAAATCTCTTTTTTTTTAATGAAACCTTCTCGGGGGCCCCAACTGTCTTTTTTAACAATGTAAAACCTTCTCAGGGGCCCCAAATGTGTTTTTTAAGAGTGTGAAACCTTCTCGGGGGTCCCAATTCTCTTTTTTAAAAATGTAAAACCTTCTCGGGGGGCCCAAATGTTTAATGTGAAAACTTCTTGAGGGTCCCAATTGTCATTTTTAAAAATGTAAAATCTTCTCGAGGGCGCCAAATGTCTTTTTTAAGAATATGAAACATTCTCGGGGGTCTCAATCGTCTTTTTTAAAAATGTAAAATCTTCTCGGGGGCTCCAAATGTTTTTTTAGAGTGTGAAAATTTCTTGGGGATCCCAACTGTCTTTGTTAAAAATGTGAAACCTTCTCGGGGGCCCCAAATGTGTTTTTTTTTAATGTGAAAACTCCTCGGGGGTCTGAACTGTTTTTTTTCTCATGTAAACCTCCTCGGGCGCGCCAAATGTTTTTTTTTTAATGTGAAACCTTCTCGGGGTCCCAACTGTCTTTTTTAAAAATGTAAAACTTTCTTGGGGACCCTAAATGTCTTTTTTTTTAATGTGAAACCTTCTCGGGGGTTCCAATTGTCTTTTTTAAAAATGTAAAATCTTCTCGGGGGCACTAAATGTCTTTTTTAAGAATATAAAACATTCTCGGGGGTCTCAATCGTCTTTTTTAAAAATGTAAAATCTTTTCGGGGGCACCAAATGTATTTTTTAGAATGTGAAAACTTCTTGGGGATGCCAACTGTCTTTGTTAAAAATGTGAAACCTTCTCGGGGGCCCCAAATATGTTTTTTTTAATGTGAAAACTCCTCGGGGGTCTGAACTGTTTTTTTTTCTGATGTAAACCTCCTCGGGGACCCCAAATGTATTTTTTTAAGAATGCGAAACCTTCTCGGCGGTCTCAACTGTCTTTTTTAAAAATGTAAATGCTTCTTGGGGGCACCAAATGTTTTTTTTTTTTAGAATGTGAAATCTTCTTGGGGGTCCCAACTGTCTTTTTTAAAAATGTAAAACTTTCTCGGGGACCCTAAATGTCTTTTTTTTAATGTGAAACCTTCTCGGGGGTTCCAATTGTCTTTGTTAAAAATGTAAAACCTTTTCGGGGGCGCCAAATGTCTCTTTTAAGAATGTGAAACCTTCTCCGGGGTCACACTTGTCTTTTTTTAAGAATGTGAAACCTTCTCGAGGGCCCCAAATGTCTTTTTTTTAAGAATGTGAAATCTTCTCGGTGGCCCCAAGTATCCTTTTTTAAGGAAGGCAAAATCTTCTCGGAAGCCCGAAGTGTCTTTTTTTAAGGATATTAATTATTCTTTCCGGGGCTCCCAACTGTCTTTTTTTAAGAAGTTGAAACCTTCTTTTTTTCTTTTACATTGTGACTATATAGTACCTTCTATATTGATTTACTCCATTGAGGTTATCATGAAAAATTCCGCAAATTCAAATTTTATTTTTTTTCAGAGAAGCAATATTTTTTAGACTGTACTTCAGAAGCGAGGGAAATTCTATCGAAATAATTTTCGACCAATTTTTTATTTCTGATCTAGTTACCCAAGGATTTCTTGATAAAATAAATTCGATCGAAAAATAGGTTACTGTATTAAAAGTCGATTGACATAATACGACTAAAGTTCTAAAATATTGGAATTTGAATGCTCACTAAAAAATGAAGTACCTGCGGTATTAATCAAAGCTCCCCCTGAAAGCTAGGTACTTAGATCAGTTAATAATGATAGATTTAGGCATACTTGTTAATTATGAAGTAGATTAAAATAAAGTATTGTTAGAATTTGCCCTGTAACTAGAAGACTATTCTGTAGGACAATTAAACATTTATTTATTTATTTACTTATTTATTTATTTATGTATTTATTTATTTATTTATTTATATTTATTTATTAATGGAACATATAATTATTTTTTTAATTCAAATCAAAAATTCAAATTTCATAATTTCGGTAGCATAAGAAATAAAATTTTAAAATCATTTTGATATAATACTCTCTTAAATGTAGGAAATTTTTTATTAAACCATAATTCTTTCACATTTCGGCCAAAATTTTGAAATGAATTGGTACTCTGAATTTAACAATTTTATTTTACTAGTGTAGACATTTTAAACTTTCCTAACTATTGTTAAAGGAAGTAAGTTTCCAAAAGTACACAAAAAATTGTTAAAAAATATGGATCAGATGTAATATATTTCACAATCGTTTAACTAAAAACAGAGAGATCATTTTTTTATTATGAATAAATTTGTCTATGGATTCATTTTTCCTTCTACATAATTATATCTCTTCCGCAAAATATGTGTATATTTAGAAAACAAACAAACAAAAAAAAATGAATTACGTAAAGTCAAGCTAAACCATAAAATTGTTTTGCATACAGTACAAGTTTTTGACTTCCGTACTGATTATTTCTACACTACATTTTTCTGCGTCTTATACTTTATCTGGTACATATTCAGTACAATTCACATTTCAACAACAAAGTTTTGAATATAATCGTAATATTTAACTTTCATAGTGCGCACAAATTTGGGGGACCATGAAGTGGACATTACAAAAAAATTCACAACTACGGACAAGTTGAAGGCCAAATTTTTATCTATATCTCTTAAACTTCGTACCACTTTTAACAGTGCGAAAAAAGACTAATTAACTATCAAAAAAATAAACAAAAATGATAAATAATTTTGCATATTTTAAAATTTGGTAAGTGCCTTAAGTACACATCGAGCTAGATTTTTTAGAAAAACTCACCAAAACGTTCATGTTGGCCGCTGGTGGTTGGTCCCCCCTCGTTTCATTTCCTGTGGCCACTTGGTTTCTCAAGTCGTTGTGCAAATCCAAAATGTTCTGCCTTTGGTCATCCGACAACTGTATTATTTTGAAGTCTGGACCACAAACCTCATGTGGACCACACTTCTAAAATCAAAATCGCCAATCTTATACTTTACGTCAAATTGGTTCAAATTTACGCACCTCATTGTTTCTGTCACATACTGTATGAGAGAATGTTGTAACGACGAAGTCGCACGACAGTTGACAATACTTATTTTGAATACATTTCACTGAAACTATGAACAAAATCACCGAAAGAACTACAAGACTCTTCAGGGTCATCTCTGTTTTCGCAGAAGGATTGTATACAACTAATTATAGCAAGCTGTTGGGATGAGTTAAAAGCTAATGAATGCAGGTATAAAGTGCTATTTAATGTTTATTGGAAGATGGTTACAGCAGGAAGTATTAATAAATAAAAATAAAAAAAATTAATGTTTTAAACTTTTTTACAAATTGTTGTTTATGTGTTTGCATTAATAATGAAGATGATATAAAAACAATGCTCATACAAATTAAACGAACGGACAAAAAATGACAAGAATATTTATTACTTAAATTAAAAATGAATTTCGTAAATTTCGTGTAATGAAAATTATAGCGTTAGTGGATATTGTTTTCCGTATGACTAGCAATAATCACCGTAAAATCAGGAAAGACCTTTACGAGTATAACAATTTAATTGTTATTGATTGTAGTATTTGTTTGTTTACACTTTGAATAATCATATACAAATCACATCTTTAATAATTATAATAATTATACCAGAGATTTTTTTCTAAGTAGCCTTTCCCTGTCACGAAAAGATTCAAAGTGTGATGAGATGATACAAACTGGTTCTGGGTATTGCATAGTAAATTAAACATAAAAATGCAGCTACTGCTTTTATTTCTAATTGTTAACTGGAATTTAAAAAAAATCATACAAGGACTGTGTCCTCTTAAAAAAATTAATTTACATAAACTTTTAAATTTGATTTTACTGGAATTTTTGTGTACAACTTTTTAAAGTTACCTAACGAGAATTTTTTGACTGAAAATATAACATAATAAAAAAACTACCACATAAAAGCGTTTCCGAGAGATCACAGTGTTTACAGATTTGTTCTTAAAATAATAAAATTTTAAAATTTTGCTCAGACAATACCTACGTGACGAATTTGTTGGAAATTTGGTGAAGCACTAATAATGATTCAGAAATTGTAGATCATTGACTAGAATTTATTTAATCATCTTTTTCACAAAATTGATGATGTGATTAGAAAGATTATTACTACTTTTTTTTAAATAACTGTGAATGAATGCAGTCTTGCTTGTGTTTTTATTTTCATTTCTTAAAACTGTGTACACTGATGATTCAAGAAAATAATTTATGAACACGTTTTTGCTCGACTTTTGACTTCGTAGGCTAGGAAAAAACTGGTTTGTTTGGCGAATTGCATGTTCTCTCGACGTTTCATAAATCATAAAAATGAAAAAGTAGATCTCTCGTTTCCGTATGTCTGTCCTCTATCCTGTTTCGTCTGTTAGTGATTTTACTGGACATACGATCTCCGAAACCAGTGAATTGTTTCTTGTGAATTTTTTTATCTATGAAAAGTTATAAAATTTGATTTTGCCATTTTTGTTTTGTAATAACCCCTATAAAGTAAAAACCATTGGTGTAAATATCGTTCCCAGAAAAATGTATTGTCAATACACGCTTAACTTCGATTGTTTATGTTTATACTTCTAAGGAATTCGACTATTAGCACTATTAGATCAGAGTATGCAGTTGCTTTAAAAAAAAATGGAATTTGATTCATTTTGTTTCCTTGGAATGGAAGATTTACCTAAGACAATAAAAACTATAATAATACTAAACAAATCAAGGTGGATTGATAAACTACAAGTGCAGGTCCAGTTGTTTCGGAGTTTATCTGTCTAATAAATATGGAAACAAACAGACGACAGACAAAGGAACAGACGGAAACGGGGGCCTATTTTTTCGTACGCTAGGGGTCATGAGGCGTCGAGAAAACATGAAGTAACCAGTTGACCGTCGGACTCTAATGCAATACTTCTTTACTTTACGCTCGGGAAATAGAAATACTGAAAACTAACGAAAATTGTCACAAAATGTTACGTTTTTGACAGTGCGCAAAAACAATGCAAAATGCAAGAGTGGCCTTCGCCAAAAATTTTCATGATTTTTTTTACAACTGAAAATGAGGTTCATCTTCAAATCGAGATGAACTATTGAGTGTTTGATAAAAACACATTTTTACAGAAACTTTTTCGTATTTTTATCGATTAATAGCTATCATCAAAATGACTACTACATATAACCTCTTCTAATTATCTGATTTAAAAACAAAACTACAGTAATAATTAGCACGATTATTCCACTATCACGAAATAAAACTGCCTTATCTTTGTTGATAACTATTTTTTATTTTTAGAATAATACAAACGTGTTCTTTGATAGGAAACATATAAATGTGTTTAAAACTTTATCGTCTCTCATAAGCTTTAAAAATGCAGATTCCAAGATGAATAGGTACGTTTCTACTTGCTATATACCGGGTGAATATTAAAACAAATTTTTGTGTTGGCAATTCTGAATTATTGGCAGCAATGTTCACATGTCCGTTCCACAGTTGTCAACTTTGCGCACCTAACAGGCCTTACTCACATGATTAGAAGATGACTTGGTGCCCTAAATTTTATTTTGATAATCAGGTATGCCGTTACAATCATTAACAATGACTCGTAATTTTTTTGTTATTTTGTTTATTCCATGTTTTACAACTCGAGCTTAAACTAAATATTGAAATAGGTTCGGTCGGGCAAATTACTGCTTTTGCTCGATGTTCCATGACCACTAGAGCCTGAACAAATAGGTCCCCTCTTTCCAAGGTTAGTTAATAGAGAACAGGTTACCACATAAACGAGTATGTGGGCAAAATCGCTTACGGGGGAGGAGAGGTGTCAGCCCCATGTGACGTCAAAATGAGGTTGGTATTACTTGGGAATTTTTAGTAACTTGTAATTTTGAGTCGGTGTGACCGATCAGCTGATGCCTTTAATCTGTACGATCTGTACCGCTAATTCTGACGTTTGGTGTTAGTACTGCGACTCGTGTAACCCTATTTTGCCTTAAATTAAATTTATTTGTGTTTAAGCTAAAATGAAATGTTTTGATTATTACTAGAAAGGAAAAAGTAAACCAGTAAATGCAGATTTTCGCATTTTCGCATAGTGTCGCATTTGTTATTTTCAAGTTCTACTGGCAGCAAAACATTTTTCTTGAGGTTTATTAAATTGTTCTTTACACAGGATTGAAATTTGCGAAGTAGAAGCGGTCACTTGATTAAAAGTTTCCGTTTTTAGTGCGTTACTCGAGTATTTAAAACGGGCAATTTTCGCGCCATTTGAGAGCCCCTTGTGACGTATCAATATGGCATCCCAATGTGGCAACCTTATCTATTAAATGACTTTGCCCTCTTTCCATCTATCTGTTTTTATTTTCTCTCTCGTCTGTTGTCGTTCATCTTCACGATATTAGGAATATTCTGAAGATGGTATAAAATGCTAACCAAAATTTGTCTAATTTTTTTCTTAAGAACATATTACACATGGTAATTTCTCGTAGAAATATATATAAGGATTTTATAATTAAGCTCCACCCGTAGGCCTACGACCAATCAAAAAAATAATGAGAATTGAGATAGGGCGGGAGGGCGGGGCTTATATTTTCCCTTTTTTTATTAATATAGAGAGCCATATTTTCTCAACAAGAAACTAAAACATGCTTAAAATCGTACATTTTTGCAAGGAAATATGGATTTTTCATTTTAAACATGATTTAAGGTTCATGTTGTGAAAAGAAGTCTACACATATTCAAACAAAAAGGCAAAATGCAAGCTCGCCCACCCGCCCTATCTCAGTTGTGACGATTTATTTTTATTCGCCGTGGACCAAGGGAGATAGGCGGAGCTTAACTGCAAAATACTTATTTCTTTACAAGAATTTAAAAATATGTTTTTAAGTATCGTGTTGTTCAAAGAATACTATGTGTACTAAGAAAAAAAGGCAAAATATAAACCCCGCCCACCCACTCCATCCCAATTGTGATGATTTTTTTTTATTCTCAGAAACTGAAAACACGTTTAAAATGGTAAATTTTTGGAAAGAAATGAGGGTTTTGCAATTAGACTCGGCCCCTAGGTCCGCAACGAATGAAAACTTCATCACGATTGGGGCCGAGACGGATGGGTGGGGCTTCTTTTTTGGTTTTCTTTTTTAATTAATGCATTTAGTTTTCTTTGTATAACACGATTACTTAAAAACATATTTCACATCGTAATTTCTTGGAAAAAAATTACGATTTTGCAATTAAGCTCCGCCCCTCGGCTTACGACGAATAAAAAAAATCATCAGAATTGAGATAGGGTGGGTGGGTGGGGTTTTATATTTTCCTTTTTTTTTTTAATAGATAGCCATATTTTCACAAGAAACTTAGAACATGGTTAAAATGGTACATTTTTGCAAGGAAATATGGATTTTGCAATTATGGGGCGGAGCCTAATTGCAAAATCGATATTTCCTTATACAAATTTTCCGTTTTAAACATGATGCGATTTCTGTAAATTACTTCCCGAGCGTAAGCTAAATAAGAATAATAATTCAGTCCATTGGACGACTGGCTACTTTAATGTTTCGCGAGGTTTCATAACCTGTAAAACACTTGAAATAGGTCCACCGTTTCCGTCTGTCTGTCTGTTTGTCTGTCTCTGTGTCGTTGGTCTGAATTTTTATTAGTGAGATAATGTCCGAAACTACTGGACTGATTGTTGTCAAATTTTATATATTTATTAAGAAAAGCGCTAACAATATGACGTCATTTCCGAAATTTACATTAGTAAATATCATTTACATTTTATAAAATAAAGAATATCTTTTAATTCCTTGCGTAGGAGTAAATGAATTTTTTTTATTTAAATTTCTATTTAGGCTGTTTTCGCTATATTGTATGTTGTAAGAAAAATCTTCGTGACTGTTCCTTTAGAATGTGATATCTACTCATTTCTAAAAATGGAATAATTTACACTCTATTATACCTTTTTTACTACTTTTTTAGAAATAACAAGTAGGTATTCAGGAAAGCACTACAATTGTTTGCCTCCTAGTGTTACATTGTACGTGTTAAGATGTGTATATTTGTCCCCAGAAAAAAAATAGCGCCATCATAAAATCTGATTAGTAAAACTTTACTTTAAGCATGCAACACAATATGTTCTTTTTGTTGTTTAATAACAGAAAATTGGTATAAAAGTTT